AGGACACCTGGTTCCTCCGGGTGACTCCCCCGGGACCTGAAGCTCCTGCCAATGCTGCGCCCACCGTACGCTGGGAGCGCAGGAAGAAGCCCGCCAACTCTCCCAATCCTCCGCGTGCCGGTGCCACTATGGCATACCACAAGGGACGTGGCATCATGTTCGGTGGTGTTCACGACGTCGAGTTGAGCGAGGAAGGCATCGACAGTGAATTCTTCGACACCATGTTCGCCTGGAACACCGACCGGAACCGCTTCTTCCCCTTGACGCTCCGCCGGCCTAGAGCCCCAGGCAAGAAGCAGCTCGCTAACCAGATGAAGTCCAAGGATCGGAGCAAAGCCGATGAGGAGGAACTTCTGCAGAACCTGAAGGCTTTAGAGGCTAAGAAGGGTATTCGCAGCGAGGAGGACGACGAACTGCAACCGGAGGCACTCAAGAAGGACGAAGAGCCTGAGCCAGAGAAGCCCGCGATCGTGCGCTTCGAGATGCCTCACCAGCGATTCAACGCCCAATTGGCCGTTCAGGATGATACCTTGTACATCTTTGGTGGTACTTTCGAGAAGGGAGATCGGGAGTTCACCTTCAACGACATGTACTCGATCGATCTCGTCAAGCTCGACGGCGTCAAGGAGATCTTCTACAACGAGCCCTCTAACTGGCACCTTCTCAACGAAGCAGACAGCGACGAGGAGATGGATGATGACGAAGAGGAAGATCTTGAAGACGAGGAAGAAGAGGAGGACGCGATGTCGTTGGATACAGGTTCCCCCGCCCCGACGGAAGTGACCGTGCCTTCTGTCACTCAGGAGATGGAGAATCTGGAAGTGGAGGAACAAGAGGGAGAGCCATCTGTGCAGGACAGCAGACCTCTGCCTCGTCCATTCGAGAGTTTGCGCGACTACTTCAGCCGCACGGGCGAGGACTGGCAGCGTATCTTGTTGGATACTTTGAAAGAGAAGGGCATCGCCACAGAAAAGAACATCAAGGAGCTGCGGAAGGATGCGTTCAACATGGCGGAAGAGAAGTGGTGGGATAGCAGAGAAGAAGTCATGGCTTTGGAAGATGAGCAGGAAGAAGCTGGTATTGGGGAGGTTGTTAGCATTGCTGATCGGGGTGACAATGTTGGCGGTGCTGGAAGACGCAGGTGATACACATATACCTTGGATTAGAATAAAATGTTTTTGGCCTTTTCATAACACTTTTTTTGACATATTCCAGTGCTCTATCATTATTTATCTCCTTTATTTAGTACTCAGGCTTCGTCCAATTTGACCTTATTGGGATATGTGCTCGAGTAGTCTCAGCAACTTGTACTGCATGTTCTGGCAGTTCATGCGTTGTCTAGCACTGAGAATGAGTGGCACCTCAGTGACGGTCTCAACCGGAAATATACATCCGGCAACAGCAACTTCATTTAGTAGTACCACCTCAAGAACCAATCAATCTCTAGCGAGAGACCACTGGCACCAGTATGCAATAAATGCAGCGGTAGTATTCAGCGGAAATGACTCCTTTTCAGCCTTTCTCCACATCTACATATTCTAGTGGTAACATGTCAGGCCCTCCAAATCTACTTTAAGGACGGCCTTATATGGCACTAAACCTAATCAGGTAACCAGCTGGTCATGACGGCATACTCCCGGACTTTACTCGTAATCGCCGGGGATGGAGGGACCTGAAGGAATTATCTCCGGAAGTCGAAGAGATTGGTGGCTGAGAACCGGAAGTATATAAGGAGTGGTTATTCTGCAATGGTGAGGGGTTTATGTTGTCGCAATAGCACCAGGGACAGCAGGGTAGCTGAGACTTCGTGAACCATACATATACTTCCATCAAAGTGGGGCCTTTTTCGTTATCATACTCCTCATCTGCTCCATATCTCTGATCACTGCGCATATAGTATCAATTATAAGCACCGACGATGCCGTTCCTCGCTGGGAAGAAAATCACTCAGAACGGGTTGGGGCTTATGCGTCAGTTTTCCCTCGTTCCCTTCTCTTTGGGTTCTGTTTATTTTAGTCCGGAGGCTTGTCTGCCACTCGCACTGTCATTGTAAAAGCTCATATATTGATAAAAACATATCGCAGGTTTCACCCTGCCAAACGACGTGACGCCAGATGAACAAGCATTCAAGGTCCTCAAGGCAGCGCTGGCAGCCGGCGTCAACGTATGGAATGGAGCAGACTTCTACGGGACACCCGACAACAACTCATTGCACCTCATGAACCGCTACTTCACAGCTTTTCCTGAAGACGCAGACAAGGTAGTCCTTTCAATTAAGTCCGGCGTTGTGAGCATGAAGACCTTCACTATGGACTGCTCACCCGCGGGACTTCGCGGCTTCGTGGACAACGCTCTCAAGATCCTGGACGGCAAGAAAAAGATCGACATTTTCGGCTGCGCGAGGGTTGATCCCAATGTCCCAGTTGAAGAAAGCATCAAGGCGCTGGCTGAGCTAAAGGAAGAGGGTAAGATCGGGGGTATCCAGCTGTCGGAGGTAAAAGCTGAGACTATTCGTCGTGCGGCGAGCGTTGCGAAGATTGATATGCTAGAGGCCGAAGTTAGCCTTTGGGCTACGGATGTTTTCCGCAATGGCGTCGCAGAGACGTGCGCGGAGCTTGGTATTCCCATAATAGCCCATACACCGCTGGGAGCGGGGATGTTGACTGGCACGATAAAAAGCCCTGATGACTTGGCGGCGCACGATCATCATCGGCTTTTCCCTCGGTTCCAGCCGGATAACCTTGCGAAGAATCGCCTGCTTGTTGATGAGCTAGAGAAAATTGCGGCTGCGAAGGGGTGCACTCCGGCTCAGTTAGCTTTGTCATGGATTAAAGTGCAGAGCAGAAAGCCTGAATTGCCGCTTTTTGTCCCGGTTGCGGGTGCAAGATCTGAAGCCAGGGTTTTCGAAAATAGGAAGGATGTCGACCTAAGTGACGATGATCTTGCAAAGATTGAGATCCTCCAGGAGAAATACCCAACCGCAGGGGAGAGATTTCCGCCTGCGGCTATGAAGTTGAACGAGTACTAGGCTGGGCAAATGCAGGTGGAACGCATTTGCACAGCTCCGAAATCAGATCGAGAAATCCTCTCTCCCAATGAGAAGCCACACTCTCCAGATATTCCGCGGCATCTGATAATCATTATGAAGCAAACGATCCAATGTTCTCTGCTGTGAGGGAGATTGCTTCACTTTCAAGAATTGTAATCGCTCCTGAATGGATAGCCTCGATTGAGCTGGCTTTGGAAGAACCTCTTTGGCCACATGTAGATGAAACAAGAGTGTAGCTGATTGGACATTGGAGACCTCATATAGAAGCATGCTGTGGGCGCCCTTACCAGGTATGGAAAGGCACATGTCTGTAGCAAGCAAATTTGCTCGGCGGTTAGAGTCATGAACTTCAGCCATGATCCAGGTGTCATCGGCGGAATCTCCCAAGGCCTGAGCACATCGATCACGTATAAGCTTCATTAGCTGAATGCGAAGTATACGGATGTTGTTCCAGCATCTTTGTGTATTGTAATCAGGATATATGTCCGGCTTGGTTGGCGGGATGCTTGGGGGTTCAGGACTCTGTTTTCTCGAGAAGAAAGAAGGCAGGTGCTTGGACAGTCGATCAAGTTCTGCGTCAAGTGCTTTGGCTTGATAAATTACATCTTCTGCGGAAGTGGAAGATTTCGCGGTGTACTCCAGCTGTGCATACCACATCATAACTTCCAAGAATCTCCACCTTAGTGACGATGTGTCCGCACCGGCTTCAAGAGCTTGTTGTCGCAATGCCAAAAACCGGGAAGGGATATCAACTTCATTGGCAAGGCAATCAAGAACAACAAGCTCTGTTAGATGCAAAAACATCGCAACACCCCCTTCGTCTGTAAATTGACCATTACCCCTCAAGGCCATAAGCTCAACTGCACCTATCAAATGTCCGTTGCGTATACATAGCGCTCCTTGTTCTACGTTGGCGAGCCGTTCAAATATGCTCATGAGCAGCACCGAGAATAAGGTTCTATCCAACAAAGCCTCTTTTGGTGACCGGATCGCCTTTCGAGTCAATGACAAAGCTAATCCATAGTTGTTTCGAGCATGATAGAGAGCTGGGGGCCATCCCTGAAGAGATGAGAACGTGGCCATGAAAAGCGCATGAATCATGGTCTCGAGAAGAGGATAGTCGTCTGATTTGGACGGGTAGAAGACCTGCATATACGAGTACATACCCGTTGCAGGTGTGTCTTGAACGTATTGCGAGACATATAGGTGCTTCGCACGTTGTAAAACAGTCGGAAGAAGATTTGTTGATAGAGGCCCTGCAGAAGCTGGACCTCCTAAAGAGTGCTTCTTCAGTACTTTTTCTGCCGTAGCAGAGGTCTCATTAAGTATGACTATATCTGTTAACTTTTGGTATCCCGAGCACTTCAGACCAGCGCGGACACATTGGGAGCAGCCATCTTCCTTTTTATCGCACTATCGAGAGGTGTAAGCCTGGTTCAGTCGTCAAGGTGAAGAAGTAGAAGAAAACATCATACTTTGATATCACGTTTGCGGCATTCGCGGCATGACTTAGAAGGCCTGCCACGATATACCATTATGACGATGCAAAAGAAGCCTTTCTATTACGGCACCTGGCTGCTGGGTTTATGGAAGAGAGAAGAGCAGAATCATTCTGTTGTTGCAGATGATCATGTCGGATTAGTCATCGCATATTGCCACTCATGGAATCTATGGACAAAGATATTGGAAAGAAAAGAAGAGCGCGTACAAGCTATGTGGTGATAATCCTGACTAAAATATTTGAGAGACAGTGGTATTAAGTGATCCCTATCAAAGCTAAATGTTGATCTAGAGCTCATGCAATGTGAATGCCTCCCGTTTGTAAGAGCCATAAGTAGAACAACCCCAACCTTTGAAGTGCAAGCATTTGCATGATATTAAAACCCGACTATACATCAAAAGTACCAAACATGGAGTATCATAGCAGGCATTTAATCACTCTATAGCTTTCCAGCTACATTGTCCAGGACATCTGTCACAAGTGCAAAATCCCTTTCTTCTTCCACCCTCCAGTTTGAAATTGCGATCCGGCAAGCCGGTCTTCCTTGCCAAGAGGTTCCAGACACAAAAAGCTTAGAAGTCGCATTAATCTCCTTGGTGAGACTGTTGTTCAGCTCGTCATCCTTTGCACTGAAGAGCACTATGATGTAGGTCTGGTTTAGCAACTCATCCTTGTTTGCCAACTCTGGCAAAGCATTGTACTTGGGATGATCGTAAATCCACCCTGCAATCATTCGACTAAGTCGAACTTGCTTCTGTAGCATGTTCTGATACCCAACCTGACCATATGCCACAAGGGAGGCGTACACCGGCAACGCTCTGAACCGTCTCGAATTCTCCATACCGATGTTTAGTGGAGAAGGTATTGAGGCGGCTCCAGACTGCCCCCCAGACAAGTAAGCCGCATTCGCGTTTTGGAAAACCTTCTCAGCCTCACTGGGATGGCGACAAAGGACAAAGCCACAATCGTATGGCACGTTCAGAAATTTGTGAGCGTCACCTGCGATTGAATCTGCTAGCTCCATGCCTTCGCACCCCTTTGATATAGCAGAGAATTCAGCATCTTTGAGGATCCGGCCAAAAATCCCAAAGGCACCATCGACGTGAAGCCAAGCTCCGTACTTATCGCAGAGGCTACGTAGGCTTTCCATTTCAGCCAAGCTTGATGTCGCAAAGTGTCCAGTATTGACCTCTCCACAGGAGACAGCGACGATGCTCGCCTTATTGGTTTTCAGTTCCGCTTCAAGTCGTACCAAGTCGACTCTGAGGTAGTGATCGTCCCGACAAATGCTCTTGACGTTGGCACGGCCAATGCCGAGGATTCCGGCCGCCTTTGCCAACGAAGAGTGAGGCATCGTCGAGAGAATTTGGATACCAGAGAGGCCTGTGGCTTGGATTAGTTCGAACAAGCCATACTCACCAACGCTTTCAATAGAAATCCCCCTCTTTTTGGCGGCAGCTCGAAGGACAAACTCCCTCCCGCAAGCCAATCCATGAACATTGCTGGCTGTGGCCCCAGTAGTAAACGTTCCATTGCTCCAGCGGTGCCGATCCAAATTTAGAAGATCTGCAAGAAGACCCAGAGCCGTAGCTTCGACGTCTGTCGATATAGAATGATCCGCAAGGTGCACTTGAACATTCTGATCATAAGCTGTGACAAGATTGTCTGCAAATAGGGCGACCGGGGTAACGCCTCCAGTGACAAATCCGTAATAGTTGGGACTTATGCTGCTGCGGTTGAAGGCTGGGACCAAGTCATTCAGGATATGCTGGGTGGCACTTTCGAATCCTGCTCCTTCGGCAGGGAGAGCCTTGGGTAGAGATGCTCTGGCTCTTGACAAGTCACTGGCACTAGGCAACACGTTTCCGGGGGTGTATGTCTGGTTAAGCTCCCATAGCTTCTGATGTAATTGGCCCTGCTCCTGGGAGGTCTTCTTGATATCTCTTAGGTCCATTGCGTGAGGTGTCGCCTTAGAGTCAGTCAATGACTGAATTTGGTATACAACAAAGATAGAAGTGACGGACTTGTTTGTATGATTGCTTGCACAATATCCAGCTCCAGTCTTATACTAGTAAGAAAGTTGTCTCGATGAAGATCTTATAGTAATTCCTGTAGTGGTTGCAGGTATTCGGGTTGATGAGCGTGACTCAGAATACAGTACCGGCTGGACTTGCTGTATGGAGGAGGGCCGTCGGTCTGCTGCGAGGATTCCCGAGACTGGGTCTGACAGTGCCAGTCAATTAGAAAAGCGTTATGGGGCAACTAAGGGAGTAAGTAAGTAGGCAGCATTATTGCAGAGTGTGGGTGTCAGCGCTAGTATTGTCTCTGGCTTAGGTTGTGCAGGGAGCGAATGATAGGTGCGGTTATCTCCGAAGCGTGAAACTGCATAAGAAAAGGTGGAGAACTAATACTACTTTTTTTTTTCTCAAGGGGAGTCGAAACTGACGGGAAGCTTAATCGCGGCTCAACATACCGTATTGTGAAGAGAAGATACCGTTACAGTTTACAGCTTCTCCCAAAGCGGAGGCTAAATGGCAGACCTCCGCCGGCGGCAGTTGGACCCATCTTGCCTGTCACACCACCTCAAATCGCTCCATCGTAGGTAATTCGGTGCATTCGCAAGCATATAGACCCCATATCTAAGAGTGCCACGACAATGGCTGCTAAGTTGATCGATCGGCGCTTCCATAATATTCCCGGTGCGTTTGGCTTCCCAGGTTAAGGAAAAATGTCGCTAATGACAGGTGGGGTTATCCAGGCAGGCTTCGGGTGGCTGAGTTGTTCTTCGATGTCCCCCTCAATTACAGCAAGCCTAATGAGGGCACTTTGAGGCTGTTTGCCCGGAGTGTACGTCGCCTGGTAACGCCAGCTGAGCCAAGTGAGACCCCCAAGGACGACAAGCAGCTGCCGTTCCTGGTGTACTTGCAGGGTGGCCCTGGAATGGGATGCCGCCCCCCGCAAGAGTATGGCTGGATTGGAACAGTCCTCGAAAAGGGATACCAGGTACATAAATCCATCAAATTGTGATTACTCCTAGAGTAACCCTTGCTCATTCAACAGGTCTTGTTCCTTGACCAACGTGGCACTGGCCTCAGTTCAACCGTCACAGCGGGCACGCTTGCTCGGCAAGGCAATGCCATCAAACAAGCAGAGTACATGAAGAACTTCCGCGCAGACAACATTGTGCGCGACTGCGAAGCCGTTCGTCGTTGTCTTATGACCGATTACCCCGAGGACAAGCGGAAATGGAGTATCATCGGCCAGAGTTTTGGCGGTTTCTGTGCCGTGACTTATCTTTCCATGTTGTATGTCTGGCCCCGTCTTACGATGGTTTCAGCCATATATTAACTCTTTATTTTTACTACAAGCCCGGAAGGTCTCGCTGAGGCTTTTATCTGCGGTGGACTTCCTCCACTCGTTGATAACCCCGACCCTGTGTATGCACGTACATACGGTAAGCCATCTACTTTATCCATTTAGTGCATGGTGAACTAAACCCGTGCAGAAAAGGTCCTCGAAAGGAACAAGGCCTACTACGCCAAGTTCCCCGAAGACGTCGAACGAGTCAAACAAATCATCCAATACCTGAAAGACAACGAAGTTGCTCTACCAACAGGAACACTAACCCCGGAGCGATTCCAACAAATGGGGATCCTGTTTGGCATGCACGGTAAGCAACTAATAGCTATCATCCTCCGGTCTTCCTACTAACATCCCACAGGTGGTCTTGACAGCATCCATGGTAATGGGCCCCCAAACCGATATTTCTTACATTAATTAACACGACATAGATCTCGTGCTACGTGCCTGGAACGACCTGGACGTCTTCGGCTTCCTCACCCACCCCACACTCACCTCTATCGACAGTTTCGGCGGCATGGACAACAACATCATCTATGCTATCCTGCACGAAGCTATCTACTGCCAAGGGTGAGTATCATCAACTTTGCCTAATAATCTCACGAGCTGACAATGTCCATGCAACAGCAAACCCTCCAACTGGTCCGCAGATAGATTGCGCGCCTCTAACCCGGACTTCCAAATCGACTCCAACAAGTCCGAAATCCTCTTCACGGGCGAAATGGTATGTCCCTCAGCATCCTACCTTTCCTCTAGAACAATCATTATCCCGGTGAATAATTGCTAACATCCCTAAAACAGGTCTACAAAGACATGTTCGACTCCTATACCGAACTTAGCCAGATTCGTGACGCGGCAGACATCCTCGCCTCGACGGATGACTGGCCGGCGCTTTATGACGAAGCCCAGCTGGCACGGAACGAGGTTCCTGTTTACGCGGCCACATACATAGACGATATGTATGTCCACTTTGATCATGCGCAGAACACCGCGGCCAAGATCAAGGGCGCTAAGCAGTTCATTACGAATGTCATGTATCATAATGCGATTCGGAGCAAGTCGGATGAGCTTATTCAGCAGCTGTTTGCTCTGAGAGAGGATACCATCGATTAGAGAGATGATGTTTTTGGTTACTAAATCATGATGGTATTGTGCATAGATACTCCATATCTATATTGGTCATAAAGCCTTTTCCTGAGGTATTAACGAATGCACTCCTTTGGCGTGCTTGTACTAGATGGTGACTTTGACCAGAACATGTTTCAAGGAAAGCTGTATATATCTCTATTGATGCAAGGTCACAAATTACTTAGAATACCTGGTGATTGACTGTCAGTAAGGGCCTCCGGCTGGTGACAAAAACAAGTGCCTGACTTACCGCACCGCCAATAATAAACAGCCTCTCCTCTTCTTGATGCACCCATTCTATTATCTTGCTTGCGCTCTGCGCCAATGCATTCCGGTTCGCATTTGCATTTGCAACGCAATAGAATTCGAACACTGGTGTCACCCATGCAAACGAGCTCGAGGATTGCGAGAGACAGTGGTGAATCTTGACGTGGGTATGCTTAGCATGGATGCTTGCATGTAGATTATTATAGGTGGACATTAGCCTGAAGACATGACCATCGTCAGTATTGCATGAATGTAATGGCATCCTCGGCGACAGCGAGAAATCAGGGGTTGTGCATACCTGCGACGTCGGGATACCGAGGAAAACTCCGGGTCATACGCGGACATGGTGAATTGTACATTGGCCCGTGACTTGTATAAGAAGTGATGCAGGACGGTCCCGGGAACTATGTCTGTTGTGCTGGGGCGGCCCTTGTCGACGGCTTCTCTGATGATTTCGAGACTGCCATTCTTTTCCAGTTGCTGTGATATGAAATACTAGGTTAGCTTGCTGTTATGCTTTTACAAGAAGCATGGTCACAAACCTCTACGAATGCATCACGCATGCCTTGCATCTCAAAGAAGCTTTCTTTATTGGCGCTTATCAGAATGATAGCAACAGACTCTTCTTTCGTGGTAGTATCGTCCGCAGTACTGCCAGTGTCCTCTCGAAGATCGAGGAAGCTGACATACATGTAGAGGTACCCACTGCTGTTGAAGCCTGGTAGGCACACTGGAATCCAGCTCTCGCCACCGCCAGCTTTAACAGCTTCAGCTTCAAAGATCATGTTAAAAAGGAGCTGCAGATCGCCGGGGTGCAGAGAATGCTTCTTGGGCCGGACAACACTAACAAGCCGACCGCCTGCCACGACCAAGCCATAGAGAAGGCCGCTGACCTTGGTCTTCAGGAGAGTGTTGTTGATCGCTTGTCTATGGGATTTGCGAATCTTGAGGCATTCCAATGCGGAAAGTAGCGTGGATGGGGAGCCCTTCGTAAAGCTGTCGGCTAATGTGGATAGAAGTGTCTCAGAGCCTTGGAGTGGCCGTTTGAGGTCGGTAGAAGGGCGAATAGAGAAGAGGTGAGTTAAAGATGGAAGGGTCAAAGTAGACAATATTTGCATATATAGGGCTTCCAACTGGAGCTTGAGCTGAGTTTCACTCTCAAGCATGCGACTGATCGCAGCCAGGTACAATGGCCCCTTGTTGACCACCACGAACTTTGTATCACCGGCGGAGAAGCTGCTTAGACGGTCCTTGGAATCTTCATAGAACGAGATGATAGTCTGGATGACGCCAACATAGGTCGATATAAGACCACCATCACCATGTCGCGTCCATATCGGTTTGCCAGCAGCTGAGAGGATAATGTAGTGTTTCCGTTTCGACTTCCAATTTTCCAGGACCAGTTCTGCACGGTTTTGTTAGTTTAGCGATTGCAAGGACCGATATTTGCGAGCTATACACACCTTCGTTCTCCCCTTCTTCGCCAACGTCTCCCACTGGCTCAAACTCCGAAGCAAAATCGTCTTCGACATCGTCGGCTTGGAATTCCGGGAATTGCAAGAGTCCCGTGTTATGCTGGCGGATAAGACCAGGCTCCGTCGCCAGAAAGTCACCGAAGACATTTTCGACGTCGCCTAGATCTCCTTGAGGTATGGAGCTCCTGATACTGGCAGTATCGCCAGCTTCGCTTCCTCTTGGGCTGGCCAAGTGGCTGAGGCTCGCCTTGGCCTTCAGCGCGCCTTGTGAATTGCGTGCAGCGAAAGTATCCTTCCCGGTATCTTGAGAAGCAACATCTGGGAGAGATACCGCAGTCGTAGCCCTGGACTGCAGAGCCGGTTGTGCAGGCTGTCGCGGTACCCGGAGAGATGCCCCTCCTTCATCTAACAGATTCAATGTGCCCGGGCGCGGGGGAAGAGGCGGTGGCCGTTCATCGGAGACGGTGCTGTGATCATCGCCAGTAGATTCTGTGGATTCCGTAGATTCCGTAATCGCTTGTACAGACAAGGTAATACCGTCGTCTCTGGGAGCCTGCGCTTGCGTAATGCCGTGATCGGGAGTGTCCTGCGACGGGCCGGGGTCCGTCGAATCCATACTCTCAGCTCGCGCGCACCGGAAGTTGCCTCAACCGTGTCCTATTTGGGGTATCATCTAGTAATAGCGTTCGTAGAGAAGACGGATTTCCTAGCTGGGGAAAATGAGCCGAAAGACGCCATAGAAATGAAGAGGGATATGTCGCATGGTGGGAGTTGCAAGGCCGCGATGCGACGGCGGCGGACGGGAGGAGGAAACAAGCATAGTTTAGATTGAGCGACCGAAGGGGAGAAGATGGAGCCTCCCGGCGGAGCTCCCCAAAGGCGGGCGGACGCCAGATAGACGGAAACATGGCCGCCTGGCCCTTTCGCAACATCAGCTCCAACCAGCCAGACCAAATTAACCCTCCCACCCCAGTTTGGTCCGATGCACAAGATATGATGAGGCGCGATCTGCAGTCACATTTTCACGACAGAATCAACCACCCGAAAATCGCACCATGAGCCTTGATCCGAGCTCGTTTCCGAGGTCGAATTCCCCCGCAAGCTCCGACAGCTCTCTCACGCGCTCCCGACTACGGGGGAAGGAAGGTTGGTCACTCTTGGTTGTACAGATTTTGTTATAGTACATATACACATTCTAATAACAGTGCCTTCCCTAGAGCCGCTGAAGAAAGATAAAAATTACCGTCGTTATGCATCCACAGTTGAACGAGCCCTGTCACTATTCGATACTGCTTTGCAGGAATGGGCGGATTACATCTCCTTCCTGAGCCGACTGCTCAAGGTACGATACGCCATATACCAGGGTCGGTGATACGCTTTACTCATGACCATTCGTTATCATAGGCACTTCAATCCCATCCTGGGGACATGCCCATTGTGCCTCATAAACTACTGGTGGCCAAACGACTTTCCCAGTGCCTTAACCCTTCCTTGCCGTCCGGTGTCCATCAGAAGGCTCTCGAAGTATACACGTACATCTTCAATCTGATCAAGGTTCGCATTCCTCACTCAGATCTTCGAATAATTTGCTTGCTTGCTTCTTGCTAACGTTGGTCTGATACCTTAGTCGGAAGGACTGTCACACGACCTGCCCTTATACCTCCCCGGTATCGCGCCCACTTTAACGTTCGCCTCGCTCACTGTCCGCCCCCTCTTTCTGTCTCTTGTGGAAACATACATTTGCAATCTAGAACCATGGGCAATCCGACCGGCCCTCAAGGCCATCCTTTTGGCCCTTCTGCCAGGGTTAGAAGAAGAAACAAGCGATGACTTTGACCCTACCATGCGACTCGTCAACAAGTTCCGCGACATCGCGAGTAAGATGGATACATATAAACAAGAAGCAGAGTCTGGTCCAAGCGGACACTACTTCTGGCAGTGCCTGTTCCTGGCGTCCATAACTAGCCCTAGCCGACGTTCAGGTGTACTTGCTTACTTGAACCGTTACCTGCCCAAGCTGGGCATCACAGATCGCAGGCCGAGCAAAAGTGATGTGAGCGATGCTAAGGACCTACCTCATGATATATCTGTGGCAGCGGACTCAGTAATTCTGCCGGAACCCGGTTTGCTAATTCGGTGTTTCGCAACGGGTCTCGCGGATGAACAAGTGCTTGTCCAGCGGAATTACCTTGACCTGCTTGTTACACACATTCCCTTGAGCTCACCTATATTGCAAGCTAGGATTACCAAGGATGACCTTCAGAGACTGATTATCGCAGCTGTGGGGGTTGTGTCTCGGCGAGACATGAGTCTGAACAGGAGGTTATGGGCCTGGCTCCTTGGTCCTGAGCCTGCAAACGATCGACCCTCCTTCGAGGCGCGCAATTCTATATCGGATAACGTTTCTCAGCCGGTCCCTGATGCCCAAGAGATTTCACAGTCCGAATACTTCAGTAGATTCGGGTTGACTCCGCTGGTGAACGGTCTTCTTAGCATGATCGAAAAAGATACCGAAGTACCCTCGGAGAAGACGAGGCCTTTTCGCATATCGCTGTCGCTGATGGACCGATGGGAGGTCGGCGGCTATATTGTGCCGGAAGTATTCTTGCCGATCATGCGAAGTGTCCAGGCTTTTGAACTGAAAGCGTCAAAACCCCATTTCGAGGAAGTTTTCCGCAGTGCCAGTTCTTTCTTCGATGGCGTGGAAAGCGGCGTCATTTTCTCCGAACTTCTGTATCTGATTGACTGGAAGGCCAAGGACTTGGCCTCTGGACAAGAAAAGGTACTGAAAAACCTGGAGCTTGCGCATTTCATTCTCGAAAACTTCAATGTGCGCGAAGAGGACATGGTACTTGCACATGTGCCTTTGCTGACTCTCTCTACAATCATCAAATTGAGCGAACTCTCTCCGGAAAAGAATCCCAACTTGAACCAAGAGCGGCTGCGTGCCGTAGCAACGGGGCTGTCCCGGGTCATGACTTCTTTAACGGGCTTGCTCACTGAGAGGGCGTTCACGAAGAAGTTTGATACCCATAAGGCAGATGGCTCAAACTCTGATGTACCTGGCTCCCAGATCCTGAGTAGGATACACGCCTTTTATGAGCAAAGCAAACAGAGCCTTGATCCTCAACCACTTCCATTCGCCTCTAAGCCCCTTGGGGAACTCATCATTAGGAATGCCTATGAACAAGCTATTGAGGCCCTCGATGGCCGCGGTGATGCCACACAGATGCATGAACGAATAGGTCTTCTCATAATCATGCTGAAGAAACTTCCGAAAACAAAGATCCTGCGCGATAGACGCCTTTACTTGGCACTTTGCAATCGCGTTCGTGCTAGTCAAGTAGAGACATCCACTGCCTCCTTCGCAGCCATTTCCTCGATTGCATCCGCCATCACGAGCATGTATTTCATCCACAGCCCTGGGTACTACATCAGCTACGAGGATGTATCTGACTTGATTCCCGCTCTTGTCAACCGACTATGGCAGTATCTTTCGCCGTTGAACCCTAAATTTCATGTCGAGGCAGTTCGTTCGTTGTGGCATTTGCATTCTGTTTCATGGACCGATCATCTGGTTGAGGCTGCAATTACTTCTCTGATGGTGGACGTCTCAAATGGGCATCGTCAATCATCGTCGGCAGAGCAAGCCGGAAGGTACTTTGTTCTCTGGTCTCACAGTCACCACGGTACATATGAGCTTCCTCCAAAGCAGCTGCATAATCTGCCTCAGCTGGGGATAACTTACCAGTCGTCGCTGCTCGAGCGCCCGCTCTTTATTGTCTTGGACTTGCTCAATCAAGGCGTAAATGAAGCCTCCCAAGTCGTACATCGCTGGCTTGAAGACCTGTCTTCCATACATAAGTAAGTTCGAACACCCTCAATCTCTCCTATACAGCTTTGCTGTTTTATGAGTGAATCTGGAAACTATAGGTTGGAAAATGCTTATGCTTTACAGAGTTTTCCGTATGGTAGTTTCGAGGCTTGATCGTCTTTTCCAACAGTCTGAAAATGCGGAGCCAGACACTGCGAATCCCACTGTATCTCCGGACGACTACAAAGAGTGCAGCTATCTACTACAGACGATTTCCAATCTTATATCTACTCTTTCCCACAACGGGTGGATCAGTTTGCTCGCGCAAACGTTGGTACAAACGGAGAAACACAAGGATACTCCAGCATCTGAAGGTTGGTTCTAACAAACATCTCTTATGGTCGGGTTTCTGATTATACTTGCAGATAACGCTGGCGCCCAGAGCCTTCATGCAGTCGTTTTTCAGGCATCTCTTAGAGTAATCAGTGGGCATACGACGGCCGCTCACCAAGGCTTGGATGAGATCAAACTGCAACAAACTGCGCTGCTTGTGATGCGTCAACTTTTACTGGGTCCCGGGGCTGAGGAAGTGGCTGAGTCGGGGATTGACTCATTTCTCGTCGATAGGCTGTCTAGCGTGCTCGATAACGGCGGTAGTGTCGGCATACAAGCAGCACTTATCGACACTCTTCTCGCAGCGCTGAAGGTTCGATTTGCCCAGGCGTACCTACCACCACCTCCGCCACGTCCAAAGCATCAAAGGACTGGCTCTCGTGAACGTCTGACAAGCCCTTCGATCTTGTCCTTCACAAGCGACAAACCTGATAAGTCTCTTGCATTGCCACCTCTGCCTCAGCCCCCTCAGCAGCTTCTAGAGTGCCTTCTGAAAGGCATAAGCTCACCAAACTCCCGGGAGATAGTCGAGAGGTGGACAATATTGCTTTGCGAAGTACTTCCGCTCTACGCAGGATCCATCTTTCAGATCATCCTGATGTTAGTGGAATGCTTCTGTAAGGAAATCCAATTGGCTTATGCGAGCCTTCAGCTATCTTTCAAGCGCACCGAGGGTTGGCCCGAAGATCGCTCGGAACACGCTACGATCGCTCTACTCACTGGTCTCGAGACTTGCATAGCAACTGCACACGAGCGTCTGCTATCGGAAGAAGCCAATGTACCGGCTGCCAAGAGCCCAGACCAGAATCATGGATTCTTTGGAAACATGGTGTCAGGCGTCTTCGCGTCTGAACAGAGTCATGCTCGGTCAAGCGCGGCCAACAATCGCCTCACCGTTTTGCTTTGCTTCCAAGACGCCGTGAGACTCTGCTTTTCGATATGGTCGTGGGGCGCGGTCGAAAGAAGCACCCTCCCTCAAGATCCGGAATCATTGGCCTCTTTCCAGTATACATCTTTGCGTATGAGGAATAGATCGCGCCGGATTTTGGAACATTTGTTTACAGCCGAGGCACTTGAATGTCTTGAAACTGCGGTAGAGGTATGGACAAAGTCAGACAGCGATACTTCGTCTTTGATCATCAATTTGCTCCACACGCTGGATGGATCACGACCAAAGATCACAATCCCAGCCGTGTTCAATTCTATCTACACGCGGACTAACCCCGCCGCATTGGAACCCAACCGCAAGTCTACCTTGACTGCAAGCCTTACGGAGTCTGAGCTAGCAGGTTTCCTAGTGACTTATGCCAGGTCACTTGACGATGATGTTCTCGATGAAATCTGGGCAGATTGCACTACTTTCTTACGAGATGTTTTGAGCAATCCTTTCCCGCATAGGCAGATCCTTCCGCGATTAGTTGAATTCGCAGCGATCCTTGGGGCGAAATTGGAGAATACGAGCTTCGGAGAAGATCGACGGATGAGGAAGGAGTTAGGAGTATGTTTCATCTGATCTTGACTTTGATGTGGCTATGCTGACAACTTCTAGGATGTACTCCTGCGTCTTCTGACGGCGATCTTCACAAGCAAGCCCATGGGTCTCTCCCAAGAGTCAGCACTTCTCGGCCGGGCATCCATTGACTATGACAGTGGGTCACTGCCACATGTTGGACCAGATGACCTGCTCAGCATTCTTGCCGCCTCTATGCCCGCCTTCGCAACCACCCTGGGCGATTCGGATCGTATTAACTCCGCAGTGTCGGGGATTTCCACCAACATAGTCGGGCCTCTCTTTCGCGCACGCCTCTTTCCAAATAACGTAAGTCGAAATTTTATGGCACTGCTCCAGCACATTGCCAAGATTCCCGCTGCTTCCAAGATTTGGAAGAAGGACATATCCGATGCCTTTAACGACCCGAAATTCTTCGGGATGCAGCTGGATCTGGTAAAAGACGGTTGGGTGAACCTTTTGCGGCAATGGGTGCTCGCCGACAAAGATCGAATGTCCGAGCTGATGTCCCGACTAACTCCGCCGAGTACTGCGGGCATCATGTTTGGCGTCGGGGCTTCTGCCGCCCGTCTAGAAGCGGATCGAAAGGCGCAATTGAATCTCCGCAGGATAAGCCTCCTCATCCTGTCTGCCAACAATGACTATTTCGTCGCAGAGCTACCTGCACTCCTTCAAAAATTGGAAGATCTCTTGGGAGCGACTAGTTCCTCGTCCCCATCGTCTACCACCCGGTCGGAGGTTTTCATGGTTTTGCGCGCTCTCGCCCTCAAGAGCACTGCCACTACTTTGGCCCCCTTCTGGCCGTTGATAAACTCCGAGCTTCAGGAAGCCATCTCGGCAGTTTCACTCAGCCAGCAGCAGGAGGTGTACAACCCATATGCGCTGCTCCAGGCGTGCAAGCTTCTGGATACATTGCTTATCCTCGCTCCTGATGACTTCCAACTTCTCGAATGGCTTTATGTTACCGACACCATAGATGCGGTCTACCCTCCGGAGCGCTTTGAGCCCATGGCGCTCGCTGATGAAATCTCTCAGAGCTTAGGAGCGCGCGGATCGGCCTCGTCGGATGGACTGGGGGAGACGGCCGATCTTAGCCAGGGGGTGAAACAGCCAAGCCTCACTGCTGACTGGATTCGCGAAACGGCAAAGGATGAGATTGTTGAGCGAGTCCTTCGACCGTTCTTCGATCAGCTCAGCATCCATGCATTCGAAAGCACGTATAGCATGGGCCATCCGCGGTTAGACGTCTGCCGAGACGACCTGTTGGCGGACTTGTTCAACGAAAGTACGATGGCTAACTAACAGCTTCATTCATTTATTTTCAATCCTGTTACCTAGCGAGCCTCTCTTGTATTATGCCCAATGCCTGTATGCCAGACTCCGCGCTGTCCGTAACAACCGAGATCTGCGATCTCTGTCTTACTATGGTAGATAGAAATGTCTTTTCCAGTATTTGCCTTTTGGACGCACAATGGTATGTATCAAAGAGGTTGTATCCATGGAACAATCCAGTAGCATCTCCGCACGTAGGTCAGCCACCAATAGCACTTGGGACCAATTGTAGGCGGCAAATACAATAACCAGCAGCATAGATGGGGTGAAGGAGATCGGAGACGCGCCGTGGATAATTGGGCCGGCAGCAGCCGCAGTCTCCGCCCAAAACAGCGACGCCAACGTCACTCATCCCGAGCTCTCCCCAGCGCCCCCAACCTCATCTCCTTCCAACGTGAGAAGAAACCTGATAATCTTACCTAGCGATGCTCTGTGCTGATCGCAACTGCAGATCACCAACTAGTTCATGACCATGAACGCGTGCAAGAGAATGTTGCCCGGCCTGCGCTCCGTCGCAACCAAGTCGGTATTTGTCCCGGCGCGGAGCTTTTCGGTCTCTTCTCCCTTCATGAGGGAAGCTGCTCCCACTCTGCCTACGAAGAAGCCCGTGGGCGCATTTCGCGGAGGGTATGATTAGTTCTGAGTTGCACTTGATCCAAAGGTCTACTCGCTTACTGATTATGAACTAGTCTCTTTGGGTTCCTTACTGGCGCGATTGCTGCCAGCGCCGGAGTCTACTTCTATATCCTGGGCGAGTACAGGATCGCGAACGAGATGCTGACAGAAGATATCATCGTACGTATATCTTTTTCATCTTATCTGGCTTTCTTAAGAGCTACTAATAAGGTAATCAGGCTCTTCAAGGAGCTACACAAAAGCTGCAGACGTACATTGGGGAACTAGAAAGGAAGGTCGACCAGTTGCAGAAGAAGAAATAGGCTTGAACATTCTCATTTGATGCGGAACTTATTACCCTGTTCATTCAATCCTTTCATTTGTTCACTCTGTCACAGCTAGTCCGGGCATTCATATTCCCATTTCTGTTTTACCACTCAATTTCATCTTCGGGTCTTAGCATCAATCATGTTGTTTAGTTCAGATTGCAGGGTCTGGCACGGGTGAGCGCCAGGAGTGAAACAGCGACGGAGGGTCGCGTAATGAACCAACTGCCCTGTATACGAAAAGGATTCCCTATGTGTACACTAATATTTCCCATGAATATCTTCTTCAGTTATCTAGTAGTATATCAACCAGTTGGCGGCGAGTCGCTGGCGTCATCGAGCAAAGCTACCTGCAAACAAGACAAACTACGGCACGGGACCATCTCCGTCTCGACCATCCATTTTCGCGGAGATTCAAATCCATCAAGTCTATTGCACTTACTTACTTTCCTGAACTAGACTATGACCTCCATCTTCTCCTAAAATGTATCACGTCGAACTCCTCCCCAACAGCACAACCACCCACGCCACTCCCGGGTGGACCTACGTCCCCGATCGCGGCTTCGACCCAGCCAAAGCCGCCATCACGCCCGCCATCGGCCGCAAACGCGGAATCCGCGATCCAGGCCGAGCGGACATCTCCTCGCGACAGAACAATGCCATCGTCCGACATCTCGCGGAGCTGGATCGCGAGAATCACCGGGACGTGCAGATCTCAATTCCAGTAAAACAGAAGGATGCATCTGGTCGAGGTATGCAATATACATACATCCGCCCCTATAATCATGAGGACATACCCTCCTAACATCTATAACCTCACCAGGAACACGAGGCAAAGTCACCTCCAACGTCCGACGAATCCTCCAATCCCAAAAGACCTTCCGCAACTATCTCGACGACGAAGAAGCCGCCCTAGCGCAGCAAGCTTCCACGCAGCAAACCCAACAAACCTCTACCTCATCCTCGCATCGCCCCTCCGTTAACAAAATCACCAAACCCTCCTCTTCCTCTCGTCGCAGCTCGACACCTCTAACAGCACCAACACCCAAACCCGACACCTCCTCTCGCAGTAATCGCAGCAAACAACAACATCAACCCTCCACTGCCCCTACCTCCTCCCGCGCCTCAACCGTAACTACCCCCGCCGAAACAGAAACAGAAGCACAAACACCCGCGCCCGACAAAGATCAAACCCAAGACAAAGACGCAGAGAAAAAGGATGAAGCGGAGGAGAAGGAGCAGCAAAACCCTCACGAACTTATCAAATCCGAATACGACAACGACCCCCTCCTGAAATCGTACATCCCCTCCGCGCCCTCAGAACGCATCATGCAGGCCTTGCTCTCCGAACCACCGTTAACGTATCATGCATCACGCGCTGGCCCGCCGATTGCGAGAAAATCGCCGCGGTATTTCTGCTGTATGTGTGGGTATTGGGGGAAGATTCGGTGCAAGAATTGTCATTTGAGGACTTGTGGGTTGGGTTGTTATAAGGTTCATGAGGATTCGAGGTGCGGGGCGTTTTTCTAATTGGGAAAATGAGGTACTTTGATGGATTAGGATGGCCAGGGATGTGCAGACAGCACTGTACTATTCAACTTTTGACTCCAAGCTCAGGCCGTTACTACTGAATAGGCTGACGGAGCCACTCTCAATCAGGGAGAAGTTCGGAGGCAAGTCCCTAACTAATGACGGCCCACACTGACGCCAGCGAGATATTTATCTACTTGAAAACCTGTGATACCCTACTATATGCAACTTATTTTGCTATTCCAAATCTAACAATGCGTCTAAGCAACCGCTGTATAATATTCACAAATAAAATCAATACTTCAAGTCAATACCAGCCCGTGCTTCCTCTTCACGAATCTCAAACATGACCTGCACTCCAACAAAAAGAGCACAGCACGCTGAGATGAGGTAGATGATGCCGGCCCAGGATCCCAATATTCCAGCCAGAAGGCCTTCCAAACCATCCAATCCTAAAGCGAATCCAACCAGGTTCGCGATCATCATCATTAGAACGTTGCCAACAGCTCCCACTCCGCAAAGGACGCGGTACGCTGTAGGATGAGAACGCCATCGGCTGGCAGGGAACAGTAGTCTGCCGATGACTTCGGGCAGAACGAAGAGGGTTATAAGCCAGCCCCACATGAGAAGACGAGGGTTGATGTCATGCCAGAGAGCAACGAAGGTGAAGACAATAAGCGTGTTGAAGATCTGACGGGCCTTGGCGTAGAGACCGGAAGATTTGCCGCGGTCGGAACCTCCCCTGCTGCCTCCACCCAGAGGCACGTAGAGATAGCGCACAATCCAACGGTTGAAAGAGCGGTGCCATGCGCGCCAGAAGGAGGAGGGAGAGTAATTGTTTGAAACGCAGCGTATCATGTTCTCGGTCGGATCAATCCCGTCGACTAATGCCCAGAAACGGAAGAACCGCCATGGAATCAAAAGTTTGAGCCAGATAATATGCAGATTGAAGTATGCCAGCATGCTGAGTTGGCCGGCTGTGTACAAGGACCAGTCGGGGGAAGCTTTCGAGATAGCCACGGCGTAGATGAAATGTAGTATTAGCTCCATGGCGAGAAGTGTCAAGAAGAAGCGAATGCCATAGAGGACTGTCCTAGTTCTCGTGAGAGATGGAGGTGCATATCTTTGTTGGGAAATGTAGTCGTTGAAGGTCAAGATAGGGCCTGTCAAGTAAAGCGGAGCATAGAGAACATAGGCAAGGTAATAACGCCCATTGAACGCAGCTGGTTCCGCGGGGATACTGACACGGTCACGCTCTGACAGTGCTGCAGGATCGACCTGTTTCTTCTTATGTCTGTCAGATTGGATTCCGTACCGAGAAGGAAATAAACTTACTTCAATGGGACTGGCAGCGGGGTAGTCGAGGCTCCAATAGTAATCCATGTTGAAACTAATCAACCGAAGGATCGTGATGTTGAAGAGGATCTCCCATCGAGGCATGATACCCCCAAAGCCATCAAGGTAGCGACCCCAAAGTACCAAGGGGGCTTCCTTGTCAGTACTACCCGGAGACACGAAGAAAGAAGCCATCCATTCCAGATGGTAACCGGCACAGAGCTCATTTGCAAGCAGCGTTCCGATATTGAACATCCAGGCCCCCGCAGGAATGTACTTCCTGGGAAGATTCTTGGAGATTTTGTAGTTCACATATAGGATGGCGAGGACCTTCAGCGCGGAAACACCGTGAAGAGCTGTGATGAAGACAAGCGCGAAATAAAAGTCGAAGCTTATCCGCTGATTAAGACGAGCATCCGCAGCAAGAACAGTCGGGGAAGCCTTAGAGGCCCCGGTATATCCAGTGACTGGGCGTACATAGCTGTTATATACACGGCGAAGCAATGGGTGTCCGACAAGCAGCAGCAACAGGTAGGGTATGTTATCGCGGAACGAGGAATACTGGTCATCGGAGTTGTCCTAGCAGAACAAAGAAGTCAGCGTCTGACCTAAAACGATTGAACGAGCTACTTACAACTTGACGTCCAGGTATCCAGCCAGGCGACAGCAGATGAGCGTAAGTCGGATATGAAGGATGGCTTTCTACATCAACAAGTCAGCGTAGCTGGTCTCTTGCAACAGAAAAGTGGTTCGGGCTTACCCTGCGATACCCCAATGGCCGTGATGAACATCAACGGCACAGCAATCAAGAAAATCACATAATAGATGTAAAACTCAAAGGTCCTCCATTTTGGAGGGGGAGCATTGCGCGCAATCGCAATGGCACGGGCATCTCTGGCGGAGGGAGCTCGCGTGTGACCCGCGGCAGCTTTGGGCGGAGTAGTAGAAGAGGTAGTAAGACGAGTATCTAGAGTATCAAGGGAGTATAATCTCCGAAGCCACGAGAGTCCTGAAAGAGGCATCTTAGCACTAGCATTGCGCAGTGCAACCCCTCAAAAACAATGGAAGAGGGGAGACACCGAAGAGACGGAGTGCGGAGAGCAACAGGAACGAATGTTGGGGAGATCATCGCGGATTCCATTTTTGGCTCAGGGGCGGATCTCCGCTGGGGTCACGGGCTGCTGGTTATGCCGCTGACAACAATCTGTACTGCCTTCCAGAAGAGTCACTACTGAGCTTCCTTGAAATAGCATCATACACATGAAGTATCATCTTCATCTAAACTCATCTAAAAGCTAAAACATTGATCTAATTACAATTTAGTAGTTATCGTGCACTTGAACTGGCTCGATAAGTGACTAATCCAGATAAATATGCATTGATTGGCCACAGACAGTATCTGACCCAATCGAGGCTAGCGTATGTAGTCGCACCCCCTCATGATATCAGATGACTAAGCTCATTGCCTGCCTCACCAGGTTCAATAGAACATAACCACACTCTATCAGAGACAAAAACATCAGTAATATCTTTCTCATGCTTTGGAGGAGGACATATACATCTATGAAGATGGCATCGCAACGTGTAAGCCTCTCACCCCAGATCTCACCCACTACACAAAGCATCCATCCCCTCGGTCGCTACGTCATCTATAACAGATGAACTAACATAACTACCCCAGATCGCATTCAAAGTATCTGGCACGGTCCAAGGCAAGTTCACGTCAATGCTCCTTAAGCAACAACCGTGAAAGCATTTCTTCTGTGGCAAACAAGTCTAACGCATAATCTTGCAGGGGTGGGATTCCGGTAATGTTACCCGGCCTTCTGCACGCTGGAGATGCACTTCTCGCTAAGCATGCCGCGATCTATAGGGACTTTACTCAGAAGAGAGCCACCCAATATGATGTAAAAGGCTGGGTGAAGAACACACATTGTGGAAGGGTCTGTACTATCTCCACTACACTCAGCATCTGACACTTCTCTCTTTTCTTTTTATGAGCCTCCTTTCATGTTAGTATCAGGTAAGATACTCATACTAAAACCATACAGGTAGAAGGAGAAGCCCAAGGAACCGAGGATTCTCTACAAAAGTTCCTCAAAGACATCAACAACGGGCCTCGCCATGCACATGTCGTCAAGCTAGAGAAGAAGGAAATCGCACCAAAGGATGGCGAGGTAGAATTCGGGTTCATGAAGACTTCGGAGTCAGGGTATGAGGCTATGCAGTGATATCTTTCTGTATACAGATTTTTGCTTCTGCAGTTTGCGGTCTTTAAACAGTTTCTTGTTCTTATGTCACAAATCACAACTAGCAAATAGCGATGTGTTAATCCTCGCCCCTCCGACAAACCTCGTATTGAGAAATCACCCGAAAGCCAAGCCAGGCTCTTCATGATCAATGACAGCATGAAACGGGAAATACAGGAGAAACAACAAACAGTCTATTTCTAATATGCTCACCGGCCCCTGTCTGACGTCGTAGGCCAGTGATAAATGGAGCGAGCAGACCCCGGCTCAATCCCGAGCTATCTTCGGCATCCCTTGACTCAAACGGCGTTCCGGGTTCTCCCGGTAAGGCGACCTTCCATACCAGAACACGGGGGGTCACAACTAGTAGGGGATCTTCTCGCTGTTGTTCTCGATCCTTCATCGCATATTACAAATGTTCTCAAGTTATCAATATATTACAACAATTGCAAGCAAAAGAGAAGAGTTTTTACTAGTGACTTTCCAAGCATAACCACATATGACTTACTCTCGTACACACAAACTACCCCCAACAAACCAAGAACCCAAACCCCATATACTACCCCCGAATCGCCGATCAAAAATAACCAGTTAACCACGGAGTTCGCATTCGACAGACACCGAGCACATGAAATGCCGATAGAACTACTACTAGTAAAATAAGGGGACCCCAGTCACGGGGACCAGACCAGACCCGAATCCAACAATACAAGGTGAAGTCCGTAATCAGATAACAGCAGCGAACTTACGCCGAAATTTCCTCTTATTCATCTTCTGCCAGAAGGATAATGGGAAGGATTTTAGATTTGCTTCCACTTCGAGAGTAGATAGTAGACACCAACTAGCTATATGCTTATTATCAAGACCCAACTTTCAGGTGTGGTTATCGAATAGTCCTATTAAGAGGCATTTGATACCTCCGTATCTTCTACGTAAGTTCTAGGCTGCGCTGGTTCCTAGATGATCTAGTGACCGACCCACCGGGACATGCAGGCGCTTAGAGCTTAACTTGGTTACGAAGTGTTAATTGAATGCGAGGGAGTCGAGTCTAGTTAGTAGTCGTACCCGCTAGTAATGGGTGTTGAGGTAGGGTAGGCTATTGAGGCCTGGGAATTCAATGGTTTCGATAAAGGATCTGCGGTGTACATACTTGGATTGGGGAATTCGATGCCGAGCCTGTAGTAGTTGGGCTATTGCCAACGCTAGTTTACATCTTCTGTATCTTTCTTGATGGTGAAAGACATAGGGAGAAACGCTGTAAGTAATGGGGAAGAGTCTTACCTTATGTCTGATAAACATGGGCAGATTCCTGAATTTAAGTCTTGCATACCTAACACTTCGTATTCAGCACTGTAATTAAGTACTATTTTAAGATTAATCACATCCAGAATCAAGAATTCAGGCTTATACTCAACACAACACACCAACAGCGATACACATAGAATGTAACAAGATACAGAGAGAAGGCAACCCAAAATACCGTCCCTGGTGTGGCAACAACAGCGGCACTGGTAACTAACCCAGACCTTGTAAAATCCCTGTCAAGAAGATCGACAACCACCCCGAACGTCATCATTCATGGACCCGAAATTGCTTGGAAATCTCTACTGTAGACGTGGCTGAGCAAATTTGAGCGTTAATGCTAAGATAGTAATATCAGCGAGCCTCCACTGGATCCTGAGCCCTTGGTATAGATGGATCCGGATCTTTTCGATCCGCGTGACTTTCACTCCTGCCGTCTTGTATGTATGGTTCCGGGGCCAGTGCCACTCCCGGCTTTTGCCGACCCTCTGCCCTGTAGAGTCATACCCTGAAAACGAGACAATGAATGGATGTTGAAAATTTTGCTGGCGCTGATAGTATAAATAGGGTTGGGGTTATAGAGGGGGTTGTACATGTAATCAGTCAGATATATAAGACATCGACCAAGAAGTGAACATTTTGCTGGGTTTCTTCTCATTGACATCAACTCATTATTTTCTACTACTACAGTATCATACCCACTGTGGTTCTATACCCGATGAACTCGTTAACAGCCACGGCGCCCATTCGGGCTGCTATTCCAAAGTCATATATGCATATCGCGACTCGAAATTACTCCAATGTCATTGCTATGAGCGGTCTGCGCTGTAGCGGGTCGTTGGTGGCAAACAGACATCAGACAGCTGGAAAGCGATTCATATCAACCACACCCAAGTCGCAGATCAAGGAATTCTTTCCTCCCCCGACAGCTCCTCATGTGAAGGAGGTGGAAACAGCTTGGGTCCATCCTGTGTAAGTTCATCTCTGATGTATGCATGATAGTGAGTGGAAGCTGACAATACCAGCTATACTGAAGAGCAGATGAAACAAGTCGCAATCGCTCACCGAGACGCAAAGAATTGGGCCGACTGGGTAGCGTTGGGAACGGTGCGGATGCTGAGATGGGGCATGGATCTTGTGACTGGATATCGGCACCCTCCACCAGGAAGGGAACACGAGGCTAGGTTCAAGATGACAGAGCAGAAGTGGCTTACGCGCTTTATCTTCCTGGAAAGCGTGGCTGGCGTACCAGGCATGGTCGGAGGCATGCTGAGACATTTGAGAAGTTTGCGGCGCATGAAGAGAGACAATGGATGGTATGCTTACTCCCCACAATTGTCAAAGATGACACTGACCGCCGCCTAGGATTGAGACACTGCTAGAGGAAGCATACAATGAACGTATGCATTTGCTGACCTTCCTCAAGCTCGCAGAGCCCGGATGGTTCATGCGCCTGATGGTCCTTGGAGCACAGGGGGTATTCTTCAACGGATTCTTCCTGTCTTACCTCATGTCGCCACGCATCTGCCACCGGTTCGTCGGTTATCTCGAAGAGGAAGCGGTGATCACATATACTCGGGCGATCAAGGAGATTGAAGCTGGAAGTCTTCCCGTGTGGGAGAAGACAGAGGCCCCTGAGATCGCCGTGCAATATTGGAAGATGCCAGAGGGTCAGCGCAGCATGAAGGATCTCTTGCTGTATGTTCGGGCGGATGAAGCCAAACATCGGGAGGTGAACCATACACTGGGAAACCTAAACCAGGCGATCGACCCCAACCCATATGCCGCAAAGTACAAGGATCCGACAAAGGCGCATCCGAACAAGGGGATTGCAGACCTGAAACCCATGGGATGGGAGCGGGAGGAGGTGATCTGAGTTCACATGCCAGATATTTAGTTTCTTTCACAAATATCCGGCTGGACCGGGTCTACAATGCGGCTTGAGCGTCAGCATATTCTTGTCAGTGCAACATCGGGCTTATCAACCTGGTGTTGGTGTTCGAAAGCTCCTAGATTAGCACCTTTGTCTTCAGCGAATAGATCTCCCCTAAATGATGATAATAATGAAATTTATGGACATGGATAATGTTTCAAGTTTCCGCTCCGAAATGATTCAGGAGTGATATATCCCACCAGTGATGGGAGCGGGTGTTCCTGAGCGCGAAGATGGATGGAAAACCGTGCCGAAGTTTGGATGCGGGGCTTCCAGGCACCGGGGGAGACGCTAAGCCCAGGCAGGGCAAGGGCCGCCCGGCCGGATGACTTTCTTGGGACGCTTTGCTTGATTCCCTTCCAGCTCTTCCTAAAAGGAGGCCGATATCTGGGAGCTCGGAATCATGAACCTGACTCGGGTGATGAGGCGAACAGCCCTACCTCAGGGGCGAGCTGAATGAGAACAAACGAGAGAAAAAGAAAGCAATCGGCAACTGCTATAAATAACAGCGCAAGACGACTTACTTATCTAGAAAGTACCACGACAACTCCCGGTGGCCGACGAGTTGGCACCGCGGCCATCGACCCGCTTCCCCTTTTAGTGGTAAAAATCCCCCTTTCGAGTCACGCCCAAATTAAATTCGTCGGCCGATCGATCACCATCACCAGTCACTCATCCGAGGCCCTATCCCTATTTTTAATCACGTCAAAACGGTTCCTGCTCCCCCCCGACGACCACCTGTCCTTTCCTGCTTAGTGTGAGGCATATCCATCTCTCGCCCAAACTGGATCTGTGCCCTCCAACGCCATACCGTTAAGATCTATCGTCTGCGAAAAGTGCCAACCCTTCCTATCAAACGAACCGTCCCAAGCTTAACGTGCGCGCCCAATATGGATGAATCCGTCGAGCCTGAATTCATGGCCCCTGTCCGAGCCTCGTCGCCCTCCCCCTCCATCCCAGCGACGCCGGCTATCTCCTCCTGTCCGTCACCAGATCGTACATTTTCGACCATTTCCTCTCTGTCGACTTCTTCCGCCACTTCCGCTGATGCCAGGTCTTCCGTCTCTATCTCATCCAAGCGACGAGGATACATTCGCCCTCAGGGGGTTGAGTTTGCGGAGTCCGCCAAGAACCGGGAGAGCGTCATGAGCCTGGGTAGCATCGCTCATCTGCAATACTACTTTGCACGAACTGGTCTATTGGACGGCAAAGGTGCCCAGGCTCGGGAATTCAAGAAGAAGAAGAAGCCAGAGGATATGCCGCGACTCCTCTTGACCCCCAATGCTCGGTTTATCGATGACTTGACTACCAGTCCCACGAGTGCCAGTCCCACCGATGACGAAAGTGAAAGTATAGATCCCAGGGAGGAGGTGTATGACGAGGAGGTTGAAGTCATGCTGCCTCCTACGGTCAGCACTTACAGTATCAAAACGCACCACATCCCGCCGCCACCTAAACTCAAGGCTCTGCGGAAGGATCTGCGGGACGCATTGGAGAAAGCCGAACACAGTATCGAATCGATGGATGCTCAAAAGGACCCGCCGGCGGAGATGATCCCCCCGCGGATTAGTCTTTCGAGTGACGATACGCCCGATACTGCAGAAGACCCCTCGCGTCAGGACCCTGCAGAAGCAACCCCGCAGACCTGGCAAGAGATCCAGGGCATGCGGGTCCTTGACACTGTCACTTTTGCGATCCGAGCCGCTAAGATCTATTACACTGCGCATGAACGGCCCGATCGACTGGCAAAGATCAAAAGCGAGCGCGAAATCCGACAAGAGCTGTTCAATGTGCTGGAGGTCCTGAAGCGGTGGGCCTCCCGAAACTTTGCGGATGGCCTTCGCGAGGATGAGCGATCTGGCATTGTCGGATGGATGGCCAATGTACGTGACATGTTGGCCCGGGAAGCTCAACTGGAATCATTCGAAGCCAAAGAACGAGCCGCTTGGATCTGGACCGAGGGTGAGTGGATCGGTAAGGAGCGGGAACGCGAGACTTTGTTCCTGCGTAGTCTGATCGGCTCCGACGCGCAGCTGCCGACATGGACTGCGCCGGAGGATGGCTCACCGCCACCCGCCATGCTGGAACGGCTGCGCGATGGACGCGACCTGGTGCGCGCCCATAACTTTGCCGTCAAGAACTCGAAGCGGCCGTTCCTTGACATCAAAACGTACCATCAGGACGTGGCCAAGCCCTACCGGCGTGCCGAAAACCTTCGTTTCTGGGTGAAGGCGGCAGAGCTCCGGTGGGAAACCAAGCTGGAGCTGGATGTGATGGGGATCGTGCATGGCAACAGTGAAGAGGCCTGGAAACAGTTCGACCAGGCTCTTCTGGCCTGGTGTAAAGTGGTGCGCGAAGAGCTCGTGCGAGACTGGCGCGAGAGGCGAGCTTCAGCAGCGAGCCTTCCACCCGACGATCTGGTGGTGCGGCCGATGTGAGGGGAAATTTGGGGGGAGAAAGAAAAAGGGTCTACATGACTAACTAACAACTTCGCTGGAGAGGGAGGAAAGAAGAGTTGTAATGATTGGGACTGGTTGAAACTGATTGGGACCACGTATGGCGACTGGTTATTGCATTTGTTTGCTGTCTACTCCGACGCCCATTGATACCCCTTACATGTCGGAGTGCAGTCGGGTTTGAATATTTTTTTTGGTGTCACTCCTCATTTCTTCTGCTGTCCTCCCAGCCAGACAAGGTTGGGACAGGCGTATAAATTCAACTTTTTGGTCATCTACAGTCCATGGGGCTGCTGTGTGTTCAACGCAGAACACACCTTTATCTTTGTTTCTTCTTTTTTTTCCTTCTTATCTTGTCTGATCTTCTTTCTAATTTATCCTGCACGGGGTCGCGGGAGGGATCCATGGATGGACTGTACATAGGAATGGCCTAACTGGTAGCGAGAATGCCATGTTTGGATACGAGAACCATACCAAGTAAACTAACCGACCAAACGCCACTCAGACGGGAGGAAGGAAGATTCAAGGAGATGAAGAAAGACAGGGAAAATACCCAGGGAACCGGACTGGTGTAACGGTCAGGCAAAGTCAATTTGGTTATTTACCATTCCCTCGAGGACAGAGTTTACTGATGATTGAAAGGGAGTCGTGCCCCTAGACGGCGAGGATTATCCCCCGTTATTTCTCCCCAAACGGGTGATCGGCTGCCCGCCTGAGGCCCGAAAGGGACAGGTTGCCGTTCATCCTCCATTCCAACCAACTGGCTTGACCTCCTTCTTCTCCCTCCCTCTTCTTCCCTTGCTAGTATGTCTGCCCCTCTGCTGCCCAATCGTCTATCATGTAGCCAGTCATTCTTGTCGAAAAGCAGTTCTTCTTACATTGGTGTTGGAGAAAAGAGATAAAATACAGCAAGCAAGAAAGCAAACCGATTCAACCACAACCAAAGAGCACAGACGGTGTAGCCCGACCGCCTACACATTCACAGCCCGATTGCTCCATTCTTATAATCTGACAGGCTGAAACCGGATAGGGGCAGCAGACGGACAGGGAACGCAAACTGCACTACTACTTACTACTACCCAAGCACATACTAGCTGACATAGCCCAGCCGCAGCGTTGGCGCATCGTCAGCCCATCAACCACATTCCTCTACCCACCGTCGTTCTTCACTAAACCGACTAGTCCCTGGGATCCTACAGGCCAGCGCCCATCCCCTCGTGGATCGCATCCATGCGTGCCATGTCCACCGCGTCAACGGCTACCACTGCGACCACCCACCCCCCGGATGCCGGGGCCAACCTGTCCACGTCGCAGTTCTTCTCCTCCCCTCCTCCTCCTCCTCCACCCGCCCTGTCTATCTCCCATGCCGACCAGTCAAGACCGCGACGAATCAAGTCCAAGTCGTCCCTACGAAGCCTCCGCAGCTTGGGCAGTAGCAGTGAACCCGACGATAACCAACAACAACACGACCTCGGTTTCGACAAGACTCTTGTCCGCCCGTCAATTCTCCGTCGCTTGTCCCCCGGCCTGGCTGCCCGCGTCAAGCTACTAGACGGTAGTAACAAACACAACAGTCCCTCTCGCAACCCCGGCGCCGTCGGTCGGATTCCCGAGGAACAAATTAAAGAACTCGACAAATCGCATCAGGATTTATCCAAATCCATCAAGATCGAAAAGAAGGGTCGCTCATGGAATGCTCTGCCTCGGCTACACAAGGATAAGAAATCTCACGAAAGTGGATCCGGTCATTTAGAGGTCCCCGAACCGCAGCTACCGGAAGCAACCCCAGAGGAGTTGGAGGAGGTACCGACACCCGACTCGGATCGTCCCCTGGATCTGCCTTCGGATCAAGAGCTGGAAGAGGCCCCACTCCCGGACGAGGTTGAAGAAGCCGAGGAAGAGGCAGTGAAGGTTGAGGCTGTTGGGGAAGAGGTTATTGAGGAAGACGCTGTTGCAGAGCAAGGCGTTGCAGAAGAAGTCGTTGCGGAAGACGCTGTTGGGGTAGAGGCTACTCTGGAAGAGCCCCAAACCGACATGTCTGTTGTTCAGCATGCTCCGGCGCCATTAGAGCCCAGGCCAGCTCCCGAATATGACGTCCCCGAGCAGACAGATTTCGAAAAATACATACAGAGCACCAATGATGACGATTCGAATCCACCCCCGCCGCCGCCCAAAGACTCCCCACGTCCACGATCGACCACTTCCTTAAGCTCACAATCCTACTTCAACCCCCAAGGGTTGCAGCGCACCGAGTCCATCTACTCGTTTTCGCGCGCCTCGTTTAGCAATCAACTCTCCCAGCTCACATCTATCCCCCTTCCGCAACCGTCGTCGCTCGAGGCTAGTATCTCATCCATTGCAACCGCCCCTGCGGCGGTTCGGGCGCTTACCGGAGCCGCGGAACAAATCCAGATATGGGTTAAGAAGGCATCGGATGTGCTAGGGGGACTGGATGCGGAGGATGACGTGGAATGGGCAGCTGCGGCCGGACGAGAAGGTCTGGAGGGGGTGGACAAAGCGATTATCCGGTTCGAGAGCCTGATCAACGTCTATGTCAGGGCGATCGAGGAAGTGCAGCTGCGCGAGGATATTGGCGACGTGAGCACCGATAGCCTCCAAACGATTGTCGTGCAGATGGACACGATCATACAAAGTTGGGCCCACATCAAGAATCGACTTCGGGGGGTTAAAGGACAAGTTGAGCTGGCAATGGAGTGGGAAGAGCTGTGGGGAAATGTCTTGGGCGATGTGACGGTAGAGGTGGAGAGTCTCACCGGGCTGATCTTCGAGATGGAAGAAAAACGGCACTGGACGCTGGCAGGCGAGCAGGACTCTAGCGCCTCCGGGCTCGACATCAATGAGCTGGAGACTATCGTGGAAGAGACCCCGTCGCAGGCGCAACTGCTGTCCAGCAAACGGCTCAGCATAGACCCCATACTTACCGGACCCCCTACGATGGATATGCCTGTCATTCAGACGCCACATGACGATACAAATCACTCGAACCTCATTGCGCTGTTCGCGCGAATACAACCGTTGCGAGCGTCGCTGGATTTCTTGCCGATGAGAATGTCCATGTTCCAAGCGCGGGCCGAGAAAATCTTTCCCAGCGCTTGTGAGGAGCTCGAGGAGCGGCGGGGCCATCTCGAACAAAGCTTCCAAAAGCTGGAGCATGATGCAGATGCGCTGCAGAAGGAGCTCAACGAAGACCGGTGGATCCTCGTGTTCCGTAACGCGGGCGGACAGGCGCAGAAAATGTTTGACTCGGTGGAACGGAGCATCGCCAAACTGCAGGAGGCTATCGAGACCTGCGCCCATTTGCATGATGCAACGTTGTTTACGAAACGTATCGAAAGCTATGAGGCCAAGAAACAGCACTATGTCGCAGCAATTGAACGAGTAGTGTCGATTATTCGCAAGGGTGTCGATGACCGACTGACGGTGAACGGAGAGATTCTGCGACTGCTGTCGGACATGACCTCGAGGGTCGACGCTTTGAAGGCGAGTGTGCGGGTGATGGATGAGTGGCTGGAGGACATTAACTTTGTCCGATCACAGCATCTCCGGGACTCGATCTCGAGTATCATGACGATGGACAGTCCTCTGACCGGCAGTGTCGCCGATACTCCGGGAAGCTCCCCGGCATCATCAGTGGTGATGACGCCTGCCAACCCCCTTAAGGGCTCTGCCACGCCTATTGGAACATCTAGTCGACGTGGCAGCTCAGTCAGCTCTGCAGCGCGGACGACAATGTCTAAAATGCGACGGTACTCGGGCATCCCGCAGGCGACGGCCGCGCTGACGAGCAAGAAGTCGGCTCTCCCCAAGCCCACGCTCACTGCGCCATCACCGAGTCGAATGGGCGCCGCCACACCCACCCCTGCTGCGCGTAAGCCGGTCAAGCCGGCGCCGTCACCCATTCCCAACCGTCCGCGCTGGACCAACAGCACCAACACGAACGATTTGTATGTCGGCCACGTGTATAAACCCAATCCTACTCCCCGCAAGGCTTCTGCGCCTGGCCGCACTTCGCGGCCCTCGTCGACCATACCTATGGGACCGTTCCGGCGCGACATGTCGGTCTCTCCGGCACCGATGACGGCGCGCTCTATGAGTCGTGTTTCAAGCCGGCTGACGAATCGCAGCCCAGAGCGCATGGGCTCTCCTACACCTAATCGAACTATCCTCGATCCCCCTCCTTACAGCAAGCTCCGGCGGCCAGACGGCATGTCGAACGCGCCGCGCAGCCGACAGAGCTTTGCGGGGCTGTCGTTCAGCCGCAGTGTGTCGCACGACCACGAACGAAACCTTGCCAGTCCAACGAAGACACCGCGGCCAGGCACCGCGCTGGGGCATTCCGCGAACCGGCGGATCAGCTTGATCCCATTGCCGAAGAACAACCCGACGCCTCGCAGCAAGCTCGGAGAGCGGCCGCCATGGCGGTAATCGGGAACACACCATACTATGTGATATAGCATTTCCGGGGGTCTTTGATTTCTAGCATTTCCGTTGTTCGATCTCGCATTAACTTCACACACTCATGTACTATGCATATTGGCATTGCGGTTCGGGAGCCAGTGGTGTCATATACCAGATTGCTTGAAGCCGGTTGTTAGATTGATTCCCCACTCGCATTGATTTAGGGCGTATTCATTGATTGAAAGGGAGCGTCTTGTACTGGGGTATTCTTTTAATTGCAATACACTTTTATTTTATATATGTATATTATTTTATATTCAATTAAACCAAAGATTTTCCAATGATAAGAGCATCGACGAGGTCAGGACTGTTTGCCAAACGCGCAGCACCAGGCACACGACCAATAACCTGGAAGCCTAAATTCTCCCAAATTTTGACCGAGGCGACATTATTCTCAAAGACGAGGTTAAACACGGAGTATTTGTATCCCTAATATCCCAGTTAGCATCCTCCACCATCCCCAAGAAGACAACGCCAAAAGAGAGACATACCAAAACCGGCGCCACCTCCAAATAAACCTCCCCCATAACCCTCCCCACACCACGATTCCTCGCCGCCGGCGTCGTAAAGAACCCCGCATTACAAACATGCGAGCAGCGTCCTACAGCCCCCCATTAGCATAACCCACATACACACACATCAACAAACCAAATAGATAAATGAGAGAGAGAGAAATAAATACCAGGATAATTCGGCTTCACATAAAACGTCCCCAGACAGTCGCTCTCCCAATCCCTGCCCTCCCTCAACCCATCCCCACCATCGTCAATGACAGCCACCACTGCAAACGTCCCGAACCAGTACGTCCGATACAGATCGTACTCGAGCGGGGTTTCCATGGGGTATGTACATCCCTTGAGAATCTCCGAGGAGAATTCCTTGTGCAGATAGTGGATTAGGGAGGAGGGGAGGGCATCGGGGCCGGTGGTTATGGGGTACAGGGTGATTTTTGTGCCGTCGCGGAGGGTGCGTGAGATAGGTTGGAGGGAGGGGGTAGGGGTTGGGGCGGGGATGTGCGTGGTGGGGTCTTCGAGGAGGGAGGGCATTTTGTAGTATGAAGTTCTTTTTCTTCTTTCCTTAGATGTTGAGAGGGGGTTGTGGTGTAGTATAGTATAGGGGTGTGTGGTGGTGAAAGGGTAGGGAAGAAGGGAATGGAATGGGATTGTGAGAGGGGACCAGTTGTGGTATATGTATGGGTTTGATGTGGGGAATGAAATGGAATGGGTTATAGATGTCGGTGGTAGGGCGTGCATAAAATTAAAGAGATGATAGTATGGAATAGAAATGGGAGAAATTGATTGATTGATTCATTTTCAGGTACGGTGGGGCAGTGGCATGGGTTTTTGTACCATAGTTAACTTTTATAAAGGGTTTTCTTGGATCGAGGGTGGGTGTGGCGAGTGGGAGATACTGTGCAGTTGATTGGGGGTGAAGGTGGTCAATTGGATCTACTCATTCTAGTTTTATTATTCTTTTGAGGTTGATCATTGTTATGTGTAAGTACTATGAGCTGTTGTCTTGAACAGTAGACGAGGGGATGCGACATGCATATCTGCTTGTCAGTTTTGCTTATCAGTCCCCGATCTCGGATATTTCGGGTGGCTTCCGGCTGTTCGGTAGCTGTTCTTCTATTGTCTATAGCAGCTCTTTTATTGCCTGCTCTCGAGTCATGACTTCTAGCATGGGGTTTGTGCTATTTGCGTATATCCTTACCTTTCATTATAGGTATTATCTGTGACATCCATAGTTGCTGTTATGTCGCCATATCTGTTTCGTAGTAATTCCTACTATATTACAAAGTTGATCCTTATCATCAG